CTTCGCTAAAACTGTTGTTATAAATACAAAATGCTTCTTGTTCTTTTGGCCTAAGCTTTCTTGTTCCTTAAGTGTGCATGCTGTTTCCCAAAAGCCATAAAATAACTTTCAAACATATGCAGGTGGATATTTCTTTGTGTAGCTTAATTGTCAGGACTTACTGGGGAGAAAACAAAGACAAAGTGCTGTATCACCTTGAAAGGCTGTAATGTGTTAGGCTTCATAATTCTGTCTTAGAATACTTAAACATCCTTAAATAAAAGAAAGAATACCTCAAAATCATGTAAGAGTATTTTTTTTTAAATAAAATTAGTCACTCAGACTGTAAGTATTGTGTGAATAAACAATGGATTTGTACACTTTTAGTGGAAAGTAAGATTTCTGTAAGCAGCTTACTGACAATCCTGTTGTAGGAAGAATCTACTTAAGTTTTATCTTTTTTTGTTACGGAATTTTGAGAATTAATTTTATTCTAGCATTGGGTTAGTTCTGTAAGAATATAATTTTTAATTTTTTTTCATTTTGAAGAACACAGTTCTATTCAATGCCACAAGATGGCATTTGATATAAGTTGTATTTGGGATCTAAAAAAGAAAAAGCTGAAGTATTTCTGAGAATTTTTCTGTATTGACTTCACATCTATTAGAAAACCCGAACCTATGAGACACTTGAATAGCACTCACATTTTAGGAATTACAAGCTGCCCTGATTTCAAAATGTGTAAAAAGAGTATAGATAGTGATTTTTTCTTTCTTTTTTTTTTTTTTTTCCCATTCTGAGAGTGTGTGTAATGAAAACTGAAATAGGAGAGTTAAGATATTCCTTGAACTTCAGTAATTTAATGTGTGTATGGCATTGGAATTGAATGTATGCAGGTCTCGGAGAGTAATTGTGGTAGCTGGTAAAAACTAATTATTTTTACTGGATTCTGTAAACTATTCGGTATTTGAAATATGCTTTTTAGAACTGAAATATTGTGGAAATCAGTTTCTCCTGCCCCTTTACAATGTAAGAATGTGTTGCCTTCAGACGCTAATTAGCAGGTAGGCTAACGACTTTTTTTTCCCCTTGTTCAGAGCATGTTGGTGGTAACAGTGGTGCATTTCTTTAAATTTCAGGCTGTTCTTGAGCACCTTCACTCTAGCAGTTTCAGCTGGTGCAGTCCTGCTTCTACCTTTCTCAATAATCAGCAATGAGATCCTGCTTTCTTTTCCACAAAACTACTATATTCAGTGGTTAAATGGCTCACTAATTCATGGTTAGTACTCAGCATAATGTAATTAAAATGGATGTCTTCATTATACATGCAAAGATATGTTCTTATTTTCAAACTAATAACTCTATTTTAACCTAAGATGCTAATTGAGTTTTTAACATGTTATTGGCTGGTTTTGCTGCTGTGTGATTTATCACAAAAGTCTGTCTTAACTGTTTTGTTGTGTGTTGGTTTTTTGTTTGTTTGTTTGTTTGAAGAATTATGCGGACTTCATGGGATTAAACCAAATTCACTGTTATAAATATTAGTGTAGAGTAAAAGTTACTAGAAGCTAACTTAAAAGCACACTGTCCAAACTTCTTCCTCATGTGTTAAAGTGAGATTCATAAGGCTGTCTTTATGATGATACATGTAAATTTATTCTCAAAATAATTTGTTTCATGAAACTTGCTATGAGCATTTGGGATTGGATAGTTAAACTGCTAATGATGTAGTTGTAAATAAGGAAAAGAATAGAATATAAATGTATTGAGTGTGATAGAGGTGCAATAAAAATAAACTCAAGGAAAAGATGCAAGAAAAGAATATCACTCACACTTTCTGCAATGATGCCTTGATGTCAGGCAGTGAGTTTTGCATGCCTTCCAATATTGGTTAACATGCCTACAACTATGATATGTACAATTTATACTAATATTTGGAAATAATTTGGATACTTCCATGTGTCTAAGGGAAATAACTGATGGAGACAGGACAGTCTTTAGTAGATTTGGCTTGAGAAGGGAGATAGTACCTCTGCTATAAAACAATTAATCTGGAACAAATAATTTACAAGCTAATAGTGCTGTCCTTCTTCTGTTCTTGTGAAGAGAGAATAATTAGACTCGGGAGGATTTTTCTCTGAAAAGTGTACACTTTTTGCTAAATATTCAATAATACAGAGAACTAATGAATTTCATGATCTCTCACTTGCAAGAGTGTGGTGTTTGGTGGTTTTTTTAATTTGTTTTAAACAAATGTGAATAGGTGAAGACAGGAAGTAATGCATGTTGTCTGTTAACCTTTCTGAAACTGGTTGGGTGTTTTTTGTGCTATCTGGATGGTAAAAGAATTTTTTTCTTTTAAACCCATGAATAAGGAGGGGTCAACTGGAGGTGTGACCCTGACCAGTGATAGAATAGTTTTAAGACCTCTGAAGTGCGAAGAAGGAAAACAGTAGAATAAAGACATTAGATCTTGAGAGAATAGACTGTCCTCTTCAGTAAATGTGTATATGGGACCTCACTGGAGAATATCCTGAAGACAAAGGATGCCAGGACAGATGTTTACTTTCAAGGATAACCTTCAAGCATGATAATGGGTACCTTGGCATGCAAGAAAATGAGCAGGTGTAGTAGGAGATTGACTTGGCTTAATAGGGAACATGAGCTCAAAACCAAAAAGAAAGTGTACAGAAGGTAAAGTAGGGATGAACTGCCCAGAAGGAGTGTTGACATATCACCTGGGTTAATATCCTGGTGTGAAATTAGGGAAGCCAGGGCACAGCTGGATTTGTAACTGGTGAGGGGGTTTATATAGAGCCAGCTTCTTCTCTGGTATGTGCAGTGAGAGGCAAGAAGCAATGTTTGCAAGACACAAAGCAACAGCTCTTCACAGCAGGGATGGTTGAACACTAGAAAAGGTTGTCCAGAGAGATCTAAACCCTTGAAAGTTTTTAAAACTCACCTGACTAAACCTCTAAGCAGCCTGATTGCACCTGCAGTTTAGCTGTTTTAAGCAGCAGATCTGACTACATGACTACAGAGGTTCTTTCTAGTTGAGTTACTCCCTGATCTGCTCTGTCACACATCATGGGGGATTGCTAATTTGGTATGAGACACACCATCTCCTACATTGGAAAAAAAACAGCCCAGCGAGTCTCATTTTTCACAAGGATTTGACTGCTCAGATTTATATTCTTTACTCTCAAATATGAAAAGGAATATTTATGGAAAATAACCCTTCCTTCTGTGTCTGAATTGATTTTGGAAAAACGACAATCAAATATTTTAGAGGGAGAAAATTTACATAATAACTGAAGAAACTTTCATTCTGTCAGTTGCGACAGCACTTGAGAAAACTTGGGTTAATTAGGAATTTGCTGGTAAAAATAGCTGTTGCATAGGAAGGTCTTCAGATTTCCCAATGACCATCATCTTTTGATTTTAATGGGACAATCTTTTGAAAGTGCCACTTTATGCATACACAGTATTACATATATTTCATAAGTCAAATAGTAACTGCTAGCAAGGGAATAAATTCAGCATCTTGTTATTTCCAAGTTTGACTCAGTACTGCAAAGCTTATGCTAGGGGTAGACATAAATGAACTAAACCAAGATTCACCACAGTTGCTGTGAAGACTTCAGAAACATCAGTGGATTTTGGATATGACGACAGGTTTTTGCTACTGCAGCTTGACAAAAGTTTAGTGTGCCTTATTTCAAAGCCTTACCTTAGGGAAGGGCTCCCTCATGTGGTGTTCACTGGGTTTGCACAATAGCACTGCACTGCTCTGTAAAAAACCGTTCCGTGTAGTGGCAATACCTTTTTGAAGTTATTTATGAAATATCTGCTCAAATTTTGATAGCTAATAGTTCTATCACAAGCAGTCAAGTCCAGAAGATATTCATATCTCCATAATACTGTCTAGCATAGGCTTCATATACGGTTTGCATACTGCTTTGCAAATATTATCAAATGGGAAGATTTGTGTTGCTTTACAATACAACACTTTAGTTTTGCCGGATTTATCAATTACAGATGTAGTCTGAGGTACTTGAATGTAGTATTAAGGGGTTTTATATTGTAGACTGCTGCATTAGTTGTGGCATGTAGAATAATAGAAAATATATGCCTCTAATTTTTGAAACTACGCGGAAGGCCCATATCCATGTCCAGAACAAACACTCTCATATAATGCATGTTGAACTAAACCCAGAAATCTTCTGACAGCTGCATGTTCACTTATGCTGTTGTTGGATACAACCACCAGGTGGGGGTAAAATGCAATGAAACTGCCAGGAGTAGAAACCCAGCAAATTGCTGAAGGTCTGATCTGTTTGCCAAAGACTGAGAGATTGTTAATTTTTATGTTTTATTAACTTGTTTTATGGGGGATATTCTTAGGTCGCTGCAAATGCAGGAAAAAAAAAAGTAAAATATTCCAATAAGCTGCTTAAAGCTTTTTTATATGTTGATGTCTTCAAGTCTCTCTCATGTAATTTTATGATGCAGTGTAGTGTGAAATAATTATTTTTCTGGGTCCATTTTAATTTGACTTCTGAAATGTCAAATTAGGATAAGACACACGTCAGGGGAAGAAGAGAGCCTTGTGTGTTCCTTACTTTGAAGAAAGTATATGTGTATCAGGAGGAGTATAGCACTGTCCTTACCTCTCATAACTTTGCATGTATATTTTACCCCTGTAACTTAATATTCTGTAAACGTGGTTCCTATCAGCTGCTAATGTGTAAATTTCTGGATTTCTTTAAAAAACACCACAGATGTGCACCGCTCTCCCCTCTGTTAAAATACTCTGCGCATACCATGCAGCTCCTAAGGACTGTTTTACATTGTAGATCTACATGTGATACAGCTGCTGAAATTAGGACAACCAGGTATTTGGCTTTGTGTTAGGTAGCTGAAGGCACTATTTGTCCTCAGAGAAAATAGCTGAAATGAGACCCTTACTCCATCTCATAGTATTTCTACCCTGACTCTTTTTCTGGGAAAAAGACACCCCAAAACCAAATCAAGCCAGCAACCAAAACCAAACGCAGACTATTTGAGTTAGTGTACTCCTGGTGAGGGCTGTTAATGACATTCTTGCTGATGTTGCTATGTGTGAATGTTTCTTGAATGGTAACTGGAGCTTCTTGGCTAAGCAAATTCAAAAGGAAAAATCCCCCTCTTTGTTAGCTGCAGTTTAGCTACCTTTAGGCAGTCTGTTTTCTTTAGCCAACTGAGTATTATATTTCACGCATCGTTTAGAGTTTTCTTATTTTGTTTTCTTAAGCTTATTGGGCTAAATTTGGGTCCTGGTCCTATTAATTGCTGAATTAGATTTCTTACCCTGTCTTTCCTCCCTCTGTTTTTGTTTCTTGTTGAAGTTTAAATAATTTCCTTGAAAGAAAAAGGAAATAATATGGTGAAAGCATTTTTAAGGAGATGTAGGTGAAGGTAGCTGCAAAGTATTTTACATTTGGAACTAAACACAGGAATTTCTCTCAATAGTGAATTCCCCAGACATTCAGTAAATGTCTCTTTCCTCGCCTATTCTTTCTAAAATGGATGATTTCAAAGAAGAAAATGAACAAGCCTATTCATGAGAAGAAAGAAATAAACAAAGCTGTTAGTTCAAATTTTCTTATCATGAGGGATGTTCTCTTTTGGATTTCAGGTGATACAGTATAGTCTTGTGTAATTGTGGAAATGTGTGTGTTTTGGGAAAGGTGGCCTTGTTTTCTCAACTATAAAATAAAAGCTGTGTTTTTGGGATGCAGAACATGTGACACTAGTTGAATCTGTTAGCTGCTAAATTGCAGGTAAGCTTCTGCTTTTAGAAGGAAGAAACTGCATCCTGCACAACTTTTAATAGGATGATTGATGATGGGTTCATGTTTAGGCACCAGAAATTGTCTGTTCAGAAAGTGTTCATCTTAGATCTTAATAGAGCAGATACCCTTAATGGAGATTAGTTATCACTTCAGGTTGTTTTCTAAACCTTTTCCCTTCCTGCAGACGTCACATGTGTCTTACAGATGTCCTAATTTTAGTCACTTCTAGATTTTTCACCTAGATCACAGAATGGTTGAGTTTGGAAGGGACTTCTGGAAATAATCTAGTCTGACTGCCCTGCTCCCAGCAGGTTCAGAGAAGGCTGCTCAAGACAGTACCCATTTGGGTTCTGAATATGTTGAAGTGTGGAGATTACAAAACCTCTATGGGCAAGTTGTTGCAGTGTTTGACTACAGTAACAGTGGAAAAAGTTTGGGGTGTGTTTTGGTGTGGATTTTTTTTGTTTGGGGTTTTTTGTTTGTTTTTTTTCCCCTTCCCCCCCCACTCTAATGTTTCAGTAGGTTTTTTAGTTCATGCATATTGTCTCTTCTCCATTCACTGAATACCACTGTGAGAAGTCCAACACTGGTTTCCTTTCCCCCTCTCTCATCAGATACTTATGTACATTGTGTAAATCTCCCTAAGTCAACACTTTTCAAGGCTAACCAGTTCCAGCTTTCATAGCCTCTCCTTGAGTGACAGGTGCTTCAATCCTTAATAATTTTCATGGTCATTTGTTGGCCTTGCTCCAGTATAGCCTGTCTTGTATGGAGGAGCCCACAGCTGGATGCAGTTCTCCAGATTTGTGCTACTAGTGCTAGTAGCTCTGCTACTGAGCAGAGAGGAAGGATCACCTCCCTCAAGCTGCTGGTAACACTTCTAATGCAGTCCAGGATGCTGTTCACATTTGCTGCAAGGGTATGCTGCTGGCTTGTGTTCAACTCCTCTAAGGCCTTTCCTACAAGGCTGCTTTTGGGATGATTGGTCCCCAGTGTGCTGTCAGTCCATTTGTTCAGCTTCCTGAGGGTCATCTGAGTGGCAGGCAACTGCTCGCCATCTTGTATCTTCAGCAAAATTGCTGAGTGTGCACCCTCTTCTGTCATCCAGGTTATGAGTGAAGATGTTAAACCCAGTATTGTCCCCCTGGGATATACCACTGGTGGCTGGCTTCCAGCCTGACTTTGTATTGCTGGTCATAACTGATTGATCCCAGAAACTCAGCCAACTTTCAGTCCAAATCAGAGTTCACTTACTTAGCCCATACTTCGTTAATTAGACAATGAGGAGATTAATGGGAGGTGATGTTTAAAGCTTTTGATCCACAAAATCCACTGATCTCCTCTTGCCCACTAAACAGTTATCTCATCATGGAAGGCTGCTGTTGGTGTTACTGTGATGGTGGCATTTGTATGTTGCTCATGTTAAAATCCGTGATTTGCTTGAGTTTCTCTTGGAAAAACTATGGAAGCGAGTACACTGAATTTTGGGAGATTCACTGATAGTAGTAGAATATCTTTGTCCTAAAAACTCTGTAAATGGCTAACTAAAGAGCTTTCAGTGGTATGTTGTGGAAGTAGTCCACCTGAGCTTGCAGCCTGGCTCACAAGATTTCATACATTTGCTGCTATTCTAGTTGGTATCCAATTTTTGTTTCAAGATTGTTATACAAAGACATGATTATTTTTCAGACCTATAAATAACTCTGTATCATAAAAATCTGTCTTCTGTTAGACTTGTATGTATACTACATTGTTTTATGTAAGGGGAGAAATGGGATATTTTTAACTTTTAAAGCTAAAAGCCTTAAAATTTTTTTTCTTGTTTGTTGCAGGCTTATGGAATCTTGCCTCTCTTTTTTCGAATTTATGTTTGTTTGTATTGATGCCCTTTGCCTTTTTCTTCTTGGAATCAGAAGGATTTGCTGGCTTAAAAAAGGTAGGAAAATGCTATTAAATACAAAGTAATTATGGTACGCATTCAATTTTTAGCTCTTGTTTCTGATGAAACTACAAATTTGGGAGGATTTGGTGCTGGAATGTGTATGCTTATGTGAATGCGTATATATGAGTGAATGTTTTTGCCTAAGCAGGTGAAGCGAGTATTTGGTGTGTGGCTGTGAGTAAGCTTAGGGGAAAAATGAAGGTCCTTGAAAAGCCATTTATACTGAGATGGAGGAAATGACTGAATTTGTTTCTTTAATAAAATATTTAAATCAAAAATTTATTTTTTGAGAAATGATTTGTCTGGGATGCTAAATGGAGAGAAGGTTGAATAAAAACACTAGAAATAAAGTAACAAGAGAAAGCAATACAGGCTTCTTGCTAATGGGAAGGGTGATTAAGTAACAGATGACCTAGAGAAAACAAGCTCGACTTGTGAATTTTAAACATTAACAAACATCCCCCAAAAGTTCCAAGTGTTGTCAGGATTAACAATAATATGTTAAGAAAACTGTCATAAATGGGTAGAGAATAACTGAAAACCTTAAACCTAGTTCTATGTATTATACACATATATATGAAAGGGCTGAGTATTTCAGCAAGGCGTGGAATTTGGCAAAGCACTTCCTGAACAGTAGGATGATAACGATTATATTAATACGTTAACTAAAGAAATATAATGAAAATTGCTATAATGGGAAGAACAGCAAAATGAATTTCAAATCGTAAATATCAAACTGTCTGGAGGCCAATTGTACCACATTTTCATTACTCTTTATGATCCAAATGATTACATTTTTGTTTTTTAATGATGGTGTGCTTAAGGGAATTCTGTGCTCTTTAGATGGCAGTTATTAGAAAGCAAAGGGTCTTGAAAAGTGATCTGAAATCAGGAAAATGAAACGCATTAAAGATGAGTACAAAAGATGATGAGTCATTGGATCACATGTAACAAATCAACAAAGGGATGATTGTAGTGGGGAGGAAAATGTAATTCCCAGTTGCACTGAAAGGAACTGGCATTGAGCCAATGAAGTTGCCATTTTTGTTCTCGGGAGGACAACAACAGCAAAGATAGATACTTGGAGAGTACAGCATGAAGGAAAACGTCAATACTGGTGAAGATGTAGGAATTGTAGTCTATTTAGGATGAACATACTGTGTCTTTGGTCACTTTTCTTAGAAAGCAGCAAATGTCACTTCTGGGCTAAGTTGATAGTTAAAATTGAGTTTGCTGTTCTTTTCCCATTCTCATGCAGATACATGATTCTACTTGCAAGAAGTACTTTGTGTATATAATTTAAAGAAATACATCATGTAATAGGGTCATTAGAATCTGGGAAAATTTATGGTTACTTGAATTTGGGATTACATGTAAACTTTTTGGTTCTAGAATCTTTGACTGGTACTTCCTGTCTTTGTTTTCCTTAAGTTTTGACGCATTGCTTATTTCTTTTCAGGGAAGACTTTGAGACAATGATTACTGTGTAGAATTCTGGTACTTGCGCAATATAATCAAACACAAAATAATTTGTAAAAGTTTGATCTTTTTTTTTTAAACTTTTTTTTTAAATGGCATATTGTCTTTCATCACTCAGAGTAATGGGCCAAAGAGATTCAACATCATTCAAATACTACTGTTAACTGGCAAAATCGGATTTTAGTGATCTCAATTTGAAAGAGCATTTCATACATTTGGCAAAACTTTGTTCATCTCTTTACGGACAAATCTACTGTAAACGTGCAGACATTCATTAAGGAGGCTTGGCACAGGATATTTAATCTTTAATCTTTCAGTTAAGAATTGGATGCAGGAGTAGGGAAAGCAATTGATTCTAGATATTCAGCTCAGCTCAAAATTTGGGTAAAAGGATTGTTCCTGTGGAAGCTTTTATGCATGTTGTCTTGAACTTGTCATAGAATTACCTTCATTAGAATGAATACTTGGGTCACTTGAGATATAGGTGTGCAGAGTCAGGATGTCTATTTGAAGGTGTTCATGTAAGAATTGCTTGTTCAATTTTAATAGAAGTTCTGAAAATGAATGATTAAAGGAAATTCAGATCTGAAATTAAATGTTTGGGGTTTCTTATTTCATTTTTTTGACAGATTTTTGTTCAGCTTAAATTGCAGCAATACTCTTAGTCATTATCACATATGGGCCTGTTGTGCAAAGTATTTAGCAATCTGTGTGCTTATCAGAGGTTATGCTGTAGAAGTTGATTTTATGTATTCACTGTAATGTGACCATTTTGGGGGTTATGATATTTCATCTAGCTCATAGGTTACTATTACAAGCTTCGTGTCTTCTCTTTCCATGTTCTTTTAAGGAAGTATTGCCCCTTCACTATTTTAAATTTCATGAATTGGAATGGGTTTGATTAACCATTTTCCAATTTACTATAGCTTATTTTCTTGGTTGCTGGTTTACTTTCTAAATGGCACATGGCCCCTCATACAGACTCTTTTGATTCCCCAGGGCAACAGCTTAAAACAAAACAACCAATGACTTGCATATTGTGCAGAGGAGAGAAATACGGAAATTAGGCACTCGCCTTGGAGTAATGTAGGGTTGTACCAAAATTGAACTGATTATCTGCCTGGTTTTTAATGAAAAGTACTGTGTTAATTCCAGAAGGGCATATTGGGTCTAAGGGGATTGACCGTGCCCTTTTAAAAAGCTCTTCTGTGTTACAGTTAAGTCTGCAATTGCCATTCAGTAGAACTACTGTTATCAGGAAAATAATTATAAAAGCAACATTGGGGGTGTATAATACATTTATGTATATCTTTATGTAAATATATGTGCATGCTGTGTGTGCATTTATGCACACACTTATCTTGATGCACACATGTGAATTGGGTTTTTCAGGACTACTGAAGTAGTTTGAAGTCACTGTGATGTATTAACTGAGCTATTGAAGTACCTGAAGTAACTTTAATCTCCTGAATCAGCGTTAAAAACTTTTTTATGTTTTTATATTCTTCTTGTCTTCTTTTGTAGAGCCTGAGCATAGAGTTATATTTCTTGTTTAGATACTCTTTCAAGTCTTTGCTACTAGCCTGCTCAAATTCTGTAGTATAATTATGAAACAAAGATGTCAACCATGTTTCTTAATGTCAGATTTAGTCTCATTCCTTACCATCCTCCCCAAAAAGGGAAACTGTGGTATTTGCAGCTGAGCATCTATAGTTCAGAATGCTGATGTTTTCATGTCTGATAACTGCACAGAAAATTACATGTGTGCTGCTGTGTGAAGCAGGCAAACATTTTTTAAGAGGTAATTGCTTTGCCTTTTCCTGACCTTTAAAATACGCTTTCTCTTGATGTAACTTTAACTGAAATTTGTATTTATTTGAAGTTGACAAAGATGAAGATGTTTAGGAGTAATTTCCTTGTAAGAAAATACAAACAGTGCAATTTACTGTCGTAAGAAACTGGAATAACTGGGTATTGCATAATCACGAGTGTAGAGTTTTAAAAAGGGTTTATGAAGTATTTTACCTTAGTACTGATCTTTGAACTTGAAGTCATGGCATAAACTTTAACGTGAGCGACAGCAACATCCTGACCAATTATCCAAATTATCCAGACATCCCAAAATGTTCAGAACACAACACACAGAGTCTGGATTAAGAGGTTAACTCCTGGAACATCAAAAGAAGTGCATGATAATAAAAACAAATAGTACAAAAATTTGAGGTAACTTCCTTGCTTAATTAATTAGGTAAACCAGGTGGAAGCGAAGAGGCCAGAGCTGGTGCTCAGAATGTCTATAAAGCTGAGCAACATGACAGCACAATGGAGGAGGAACAAAGATTTTTTTAATATACTTCTATCCTGTGTCACAGTTTGAAATTGTCCTGGTTTATGTCCCTTTTGGCAAACTTACATAAAAGTGACCCTGTACTGTATTTTATGACCAGATGACTTTTTTTTTCCCAGTGGCTAATTTGTATCAGACCCCCATCTTAGAGACTCAGAAATGATTAGGAAGTCCAAGCCAGTTTGTCTCAATGAGCTTTCATTGCATGCTTTCATTATTTTTGCTCAGTTTTGCCACTGATCATCCATAAATTGTTGGAAATGAGTGATTAAGGAAGTGCTGCTTAGTGTTAGTGGCACATGCACGTTCTTGGTATGTTTTTTGTGGGTGAGAGGAAATCGTGTACTGCACAAACAAAAAGGAAAACTCCTGCTGGGAACCTTTCAAGGAAATTTAACTTGCATAATGTTTTGATCTCTGTGTTTATTACAGAAAATAAGAGTAATATTTCACCAGCTATTGTTATGTGTCAGCTAGTCTCTCCATCTGCTTGCCTTTCCTTGATACCGCTTTCCAAAATCTCATTGAGTTTATTTTAATAAAAGCACTTAAAAATATGGCAGTTTATTCATACACTTAAAGCAGGTGAGGTGGGCCAGTGTTCAGAACAGTTTATTGTGTAGTGCTTGCTATAAAGATTTGGCTGTCATGACTGCAAAGTCCTGCCTGTGTTAGCAGTTGCAGCTTAGTCCATACAAGTAAAACACGGTATGTAGGTTCCCTTCCAAATAATGAAATAGTCATTTCTGCTGTTAAAAGGCAGATTTCTTCCTTGCCTCTCTTTTGTTGGAGCATGGCTTTTAAGAATGTATTTTGTAATTAAAACTACTTATTTGGGGATGGAGTAAAATGATGAAGCATTGCAAAAAGAGTTACTAGCATTTTTTTGAAACTACTACTCAATATTTAATTTGATCCACTCTGTATTTATCAATAGCAGTGGCTTTTCCTAGTCATGTTACTGTAGACCAAGCCTGAACTAAGATTAAGTTTCTAATGTGTTGTGTTGCAGTGCATTGTATTTGCAAACTCTAGATAACTAAGTAATAAACATAAGTGAAAAGTGAGCCTGTTGCTTTTTCCTTTTTTGGTGGTATGGAAAATCTTTTTTTTTCTGTATTTTTGCACATAGAAAAGCTGTACTCCCCTGTTCTACTCCGTGTACCAG